AAGGATGAAGAACACGATGGTGTCCTTAAAATGAAAATTAAACGACACGTTTTATAAGAAAACTGCATTTAAAGTTTTCAAACAGAAATAAAAAAATGTTTGGCAACACTGTACAGAAACAAAAGTTACAGATTTAGATTTCTTGTCTAATTTCCTTATTAAAACAATACCTAATGTTTATTTGTTCCGGAGATATGAACAAAAGAAAGTAGTGGTTTCTAAAAAATAATGAAAAATGGAAAATGTGCCCCTTGATCGATCAGCATACAACTTTGGTTTTTTAGAATTAAAACTTAAATGAACATTCCCTCCTAATTTGGTCCAAATCGGAAGGGGTCAATTTCTCCTTCCATACTCCGAACAATTCATTGCTAGCCGGTTGATAAGCACTCATTTTTCCCGAAAAGAAAACGCAAACAGTTGTAATAAACACAACACAATGATCACCGACGTTGCCACTTTAACAGCACGTCTTAGTTTAAGCCTCGATGACCGCAATGTATCGAGGTTCAAAATAGGTAGTGTTTGTGAACGGATCTGTTGTTTACCCGTTTAAGAGAACCTAATCACTTATTTTCGATACCACCCCATACTTATGTGATGTTATATGTAAGTTAGTACTATTTTTTTAATTTAAAAAAAAATTAAATTAATTAATATAAAAGCTAAGAAATATAAACTCGGTATAATGAAGCATTCTTTGAAAAACATGTAGAATATCGCTTAAATGGTGATGTATAAAATAACATCAAACATGATATGCGCGAAGTGTCCTGATTGTGATATGTTGCTTGCTCATACTTTTAACTATGGCAAACTTAATGACGTTGAGAACTGGTTCGCAAACATTCACATTTTTGAAAAAAAAAAAGTTTTGAAAATTGGTATATTTGTACACTAAATTAGCTGTATATCACACTGATGTCAACAAAAGTAGCTGGTGTCTTGAGAGAAATTGCGTATTTTAACGTTATCTTAAACTTTTTAGAACAATTTGGATTGATAGAATGTACTTAAGTATTGGAAAAACTAATATACATACAAACATGTTTTTTCAATGTAGTCCTGAGAGAAAACTACCTATATCTTTCCGAATTTAAGATGTAGAGATTTGATGTCGTTTGAGTTTCTTAAAATTTGAATTTCTACAACTTTGCCCAAGACATAAACCCATTATCTCATAACTACAAAAAGTTATATTTTCTAAGTGTAAAACCCCCTTAATAAAAATTGAGGTATATATTTCAAAAGATGCGAAACGAAATTTAAAAAAAAAACCTCTCTGGAGACACCTAGGCACTAAAACTTAGATAAAGGTGAGAAAAGACTTTTGACTGTCTTTTTCAGAACGGCCCCACTGTGCGGCTGCGGTTTTTTGAAAAATGGCTGAATAAGCAATTTTTTATTATTAATCTATTTGATAAGGCTCAATCGAATTATCTCTATAGAGCCGAGGGTTCTTGTTCACTAAACATCTTAAAACTATAGTCAAAAGTGACAACACAATAAATACCTTATCTTCCGCTATCCAAAAAACCTCTTCTATCAAGACGGGAACCGCTTCTAGTGGTTTCATTGTATGGAAGTATCGCCAACGGGGGTCAGAGCGCTTCCATTGCAGCAATGGACGCAAAACGTGGTTAGCACTCACACACTCATCACGAAACGGTAGCTTTCAAAAGTCGACGACGCATCGACCTTAAGAACTGCTGATGAAGAACAATGAGGAGGACCAACGGCACCGGTGGTGTTGTGGTAAGCGTGATTACCTCTCACCCCAGCAGGCCTGGGTTCAATCCCAGTCGGCGCCGCCGAGATGTTCTGAGGCATAACATCTCTGATCACGCCTTCCTTCGGATGGGAAGTAAAGCCGTTGGTCCCCGGTTCATGAGTTGATGGGTCGATAGGTAGGGTCCAGGTGTGGAAGCTGCCTTCCTGGCACGTCGGTAGCATTGGTGCTCAGCACGGACAACAAGATCGACGGAAAAAACAAACCAAAGGAATGAGGAGGACCAAACAATAGTTGCTGCCGAGTGAACAGACGATCGCGTGACACACATCGATAGTAGCTTGTTTCTGTTAGCAACCGAGTAAGCACTGTCTACTGGGTGGAACTTGTCCATACACTTCTTATGATACTTGAACTCGGCTCTGTGAAGTTGCATTAAAACAGTTGAGCCTAACCAAATAAACAAATCGAAAAAAGTAGCCTAGGATCTTTCAAGATCGAAAATTGGTTACCTACGGGGTAACACGTTCCGTGTGTTTTTTTTTTTGAAACTCGGCTAAATCAGCCATTCTGGATTTTTTATACGAAGAGTAAAGAATTTTTTTTTAAAGACAGTATGATGAGCATTTTTCTAAGTTCCAACATTTTAAGTTTTTTGTTACTGCCTGATCTTGAAATTTTGTTTTCGTCAAATATTCTGATTTATTTTTGAAATTTCCTTTATTCAGTACATTTGTCATGTCTTCGATTAACCTTCAATGACAGAGTTCCTGAAAAAATGTATAGATCATTGTTCCAAAGAAAATTGTTCCAAAGAAAATCGTTATTATTTCAGATATTTCACTTTTAAAGATACAGCCTAATGACCCATTTGAAATAATGGCTTTTAGCATAATGGCATTAGGCCTAATGGCTCTTCACCGTTTTCACATATTTTAGGTATTTCGTGACTTGTCCAGGGATGATATTTGAACGTTTTACCTTTAGCATGATAGGCATGGTTACTACCCTAGTAGCACGCTTGTTACAAATCAATTGTAGAGACTTATATACGACTTATTTTAGTCATAAACAAGTTGCTGTAACTTATTGTGATGAAAGTGTGCTACTCGGGTAACCAACGTCAGGCCCGTCCCGCAACATGAAGCAATTATTGTAGTTTTAATTCGAGTATTCAACGAATATTTCGAGAAAAGATGTGTGTGAGTTCAATACTTCGTTAAAGGTTGGGGGATTTTCATAAACAGATCTGCAGAAATTCTATTTAAATATGTTAAAAGAACGTGCTTCTTTTAAAATTTGTAGAAGTTGATCAATCTGACATTACTGATTGACACTGGTAATAAATTGAAAAACATCCCAGCCGACATTGGTCCGTATAGTTCCGGATATACACAGTGATATACTAACCATACAAATCGTATATATAAGATGCGCAGATTTACTATTAAACGTTCCAAAATGGAGGTCATATACATACATACTGGCTTTCCAATAACGATTTTGCCGACTTCAATATAACAGAAATACGATCATCATATAAATAAAACAATAAAAAAAGCTATTCCTGCAGCTAGTCTCCATACCTCTATCTTTGTAACCAATAACCAGAACTGAATCCACTGCACCATATAAGTACAGAGGATTATATTAATGATAAATTCTACGCTTCAAAAGCCTACTTGGACTTGGAAAGATTTTGATGTTGATGAAAAGCATAAGATTATGTTAAAGATTGGATCTTGAGTTGGTTTAGATTCCGCGGCACCTTCCTGCACATTATATGACAATCATATCTATTACTATACAAATAGCCCCATATTTTGATGACACGCAATAGAGATGTGTAACCATTTACGATCTTTCAAAGAGCAGTTGAGAAAATTGCATTTTGATCGAAATTTTGCGATAATTTCAACTTGAATTACAACAAGATGGAATGCTCTTATAGTCTTATTGGTCTTATCTTGAAGCAAACACTAGAGCACATTCTTATGCTAACTTTGATTATCTGGGGAGGCGTTATGCGAGTTAATTGACACTTAATTTTCATGAATTTGATTAAGCATCATTTACGATCTAAGAGATGAACTAGCCTCAGGCTAAAAATCTCTAAAATAAAGATTAAAAAAAAAAAAAATTTACGATCTAATCTGTAATAACAATTTCAGTTTCAAAAACCTTACAACTTCATTCGAGCTTATTTGTGATACGGTACGATACAAAAATGAATCATCGCCAATAGGGTGAAAATTTGCATTCTTTGCGACCTAACCAAAACATTATACGATGCATCTCATTCTTGTATGCGATGATGACTTTATCAGTAACAATTTACGATTCTATTTGTACGCTGGTTTACGACTTCTGGTTGTCTGGGATTAAATTTCATGATACAATAACATTCATCTGATCACATCACGCAATTTATTAACAATTCAATTCCTCTAAAACACAATCTCAATAATGCTGATCAATGTTGGCATAGCTTTCGCCGTGATGTGGGTGGTGAGCGTGGCCCTTGCGCTGAACATGAGGCTGGAATCCTCCCTTGTGGTCCGAGCTGTAGTCAACGATGCGGTGGGTGCCATCGGCTTCATCCAGTGTGTACTGTCCCTTAACATGGTCTCCATCGCGGTGTTCCCAAGCACTCTTGTGATCGTGGGTGTGTCCATCCTTAACACCATATTCGAACTTGTACTTGGGGTGAGAATGATGGTGATCCTCATGATGACCGTGATCTCCTCCGTAGTACTGAGCGATGATCTGCCACGAGTTGACAAATTTGAGATAATATTTTCAAAAAGAAAAATACAAATATCTACTCACCTTGAACATCTTGGATCTCCTGTAATGTTGTTAGTTATGCTGCTAAATGAATGCTTGCTACCGGACGACTGTTGCTAACCTGAGTTTCCATTAGAGCTTTTATACCTATCAACGTTCGTTTCACATGCTACTGTTTGTCTCGTTCGAGTGGACATAATAAATACCAATCAGATGGATTTTCATGTGCCAAATCGGAAAATAAGTTATGCAACACCCTGCTGTCGGCCAGTCAAAACAGCTTTAATCGAATTGAAATTCATCGGATATATTGACACCCTCCGAATTAATAATTTTCTCAATGACACAAATTGCATGCCCAAACCGACCGAGATATATTGTTAATAGAATTAATATCCGTTGCCTCTGTTTGACTTTTATTGGTGAAAACCAGCGAAGTAGAAAATTGCGTTCGCTTTGCTTCAGACCCAGACCAACTATATGTATCTGGAGGTATATATCTATGCATGTCGAAAAATGAAAACGGAAAAAAGTTGCTAAGCGAACGAGTATAAAATATCTGCTACCAATTAAGCTCGACAACAGTTAGCGAACAGCACACCAATAGAAACACTCCAAACCCTAGCCCTAGCACAGGAGATCCAAGATGTTCAAGGTAGTTTGTTGACGAGATTTGTGTGGGTCTTAGGCAGCTGTTTAACTTATAGCATCTTTTATATTTCAGATCATCGCATTGGTTGCCTGTCTGGCCGTTGTTGCCTCTGCGCAGTACTACGGAGGAGATCACGGTCATCATGAGGATCACCATCATTCCCACCCCAAGTACAAGTTCGAATATGGTGTTAAGGATGGACACACCCACGATCACAAGAGTGCTTGGGAACACCGCGATGGAGACCATGTTAAGGGACAGTACACACTGGATGAAGCCGATGGCACCCACCGCGTCGTTGACTACAGCTCGGACCACAAGGGAGGATTCCAGCCACATGTGCAGCGCAAGGGACATGCTCACCACCCACATCACGGTGAAAGCTATGCCAATATTGAACAGCACTACTAATACATTTGAACCAAAACCATTGTGATACTGTAAATACATAGGCTCTTCCCTAGCTCTCCTGAAACTGTGTGTTTTTTAGTGTTGTATGCAATGAGAATCCAGAACCGGTTCGGCCTAATGGCAAGATCAAACAATGAACCCATATAATTGTTACTATGGAGGGCCAAAAACAGAGGTGTGGGCCCATAAGCAAAGACACTTATGCGAAATCCACGGCAGGGGAAGAGAAAATTCTTCCTACAGAACGTTCTTACTACGCGGTATATAGAGCATATAATATACATTAGGATTTTCGTCTGGTGGTTTCATTGAAGTAGGGTGCATCAAACTAACTATAGACTGTCATAAAACAATCACACCTTCTATGATATCTATTCGAATATTTTCGAACTAACTTTTAAAAGCAAGTTCCGATAGCTACAGGACAGACCCAAAAGATTTCAGGACTACTCACTTCAGTGAAGACCAACGAACTTCAGGGCAGTTCCATTAACTTCAGGGATCTTTTCTGTGAACTTCGGGGCTGTTGTCAAAACTTCAGGGTGGTTTGATCAATATCAATACATTTGCGGGAGCCTTATTCTAAGAACTTTACGACAGCTTATTTTTATTATTTAAATTGTAGAAACTTTAATGGAGTTATGGGAAATGAAATTAAATGCTTAGGACTTCAGTGATGTTTCATAAAAAAAACTGCGGGAGCTTGAGGGAAGATCCGGAAACATTTGGAACAATTTGGAAAGTTCAAGGAAGCTTCATAAACTTCAAGGCAGTTCCATTAGCTTCAAAAAAAAACTGAAGGAACTTTTAATAACTTTAGATACATCCAGAAAATTTTAGGGAAGTCAAAAAAAACTACAAAACGAGGAAAATTGTTGAAACTTTAAAGAAGTTCCAAGTACTTGGGAAAAGCTAGGTCTAGACATCGTTAGGGACTCTAGTGAACTTTTTTTTCCCTCTGTTCGGAACATAACACCACTGCGACCTTAAATTTGATCAATTTTAGTATATACTGAGTCCTTAGTTTAGTGCATGTCGTATTACTCCATCACTATTGAGAAGTGATGAAGTATTCGGATTTGATACAGTTTTCATTCATCGCAAGGAATCGATTTAGCAGCAACAAAATTAAGCAATTACGCCGATAATAACCAACGAACAACGAATAGAAGATTAGATATCATATGGATGAAGGTTAACTAACTCATGTTTTCCATGTTTCAAGATCATCCTCGGTGGACAAAGCTGAGTCTTGCCACTATCAGCAAGGCATAAAAAGTAATAAGGACTAAGATGTGTTCCTTTGATTACTGATTACTGTTCCCTTAGTTTGAAGAAGTCAGGACAAGATATCGGTGGTAGATCTTACATCCCGTAACGTACCACGAAAAGGTGATTTACCCACCTTACGGGACTCCAAAGACTTAAGGATAGTACAAATAACTTCAGGAAAATTTAGGGAAGTTAAAAAAAAATTTGGAAACATCACAGAGGATCTAAGAAATTCATGGAAGTCCACAGAAGTAAAGAGATCATTAGGACAGTTCCATTAATTCTAGGGCAGTTGCAGGAACCATTATCAGGAGAATAGCTAGAACTTCTGGAAAACTGCGTGATCTTCAGGAAGTACTAGAGATATTCAGGGTACTATAGAAATATTAAAATTAGCAGGAATTTTCATGGAGTTCTGGGGAATGAAATTGACTGTTTAGAATCTTAGGGATGATTCACGAACAAGCTGGGGAAACTTAAGTGGAGTTCCGTAAACGTTCGGAACATTTTGGAAACTTCAGGGAAGCTTCATAAACTTCAACGTAGTTCCATTAGCTTCAGGACCACTGTAGGAACTTTTAACTTAAGAACTTCAGGGATATCCTGAGAATTTAAGGGAAGTCAAGAAGACAAGTAGGGAAGTCAAGAAGATAAGTAGAGCGAACCTGAGAAAAATTGTTGAAACTTTAAAGAAGTTCCAAAAATTTGGGAAAATCTAGGTCTGACTTTTTGGCAACTTAAGTGTTATTCTACTGATTTCAGGGAATATCCACGAACTTCAGGAAAGTTCAGATCTGTAAGGAAAAGTTTTGATAAATTCGAGATAGATCCATTAGCTTCTACAACAATTTGAAAACTCTTAAGCTTCAAGAATTATACAAATGCTTAGAAAGCTCCATAGAACTTTAAAAAAAACATGAGTAATATTTGGTAAATTCCACAGACATCCAGAGGAATTCAGAGAGATCACCTATTTCAGGAAAAATTCTATAACTTCATTTTAATCTTCACTAGAGACCATCAAGGCAGCTTTTTCTTGCTTAAGGAAAATTTCAGGAACTTTAAAGAAATTTCCAAAACTTCAGGGATGTTTATGGGAGTTTCAAATCAAATTTTAGAAAGCTTCAGAAAAACTTCGGGCGCCACCGGGAAGATCAAAGAACATCATGGCAGCTCCATTAGCTTTAGGATAATTATGAAACTTTTATGATATATTGAAGAATTCAGGAAAGGTCAACACATTTTAGGAAAGTTTTTAAGATATTAAAGACAAGAACTTTAGATTAATTTATAAAAGTTTAGTGATCATTATGATAGGTTCGCAAACTTCAGGACCAGGCATGGAAAATCATTTGCATTCATATCATACATTCATTTACATTCATTTGCCTTTAACTTTTTTCATCAACAGCATTCCGCAAAATGATGTATAGAACATTTGTAGGTTTTGTTATAAGCTACAAGTTTTGCTCATAACTCAAATCTGTGTCTCTTATGCATCACGAACTAGAGCGGGCAGAACTTGTTACTGTTTTTCAGTGAATGTAAAATACATTCACTGAAAAACAGTAGTGGATTTTGTTCGCTCTGCTTCGTCATGCATAAGAGATACGGATTTAACTTGTAAACAAAAGTTGTAGTTAATAATATAACCTAAAAAAGTTCTTTGCATTTTTTTGTGGAATGCTGTTGTATAAAAAAGTTAGAGGCAAATGAATGTAGAATGCACGTAAAGAATGCAAATGATTTTCCATGTCTGTTCAGGATAGTTCAAAGAACTTTAACAACACTATAAGCCCTTAAGTCCTTTTTTATAATGCGTTTATTTGTCCAGGCTCATTTGCTGTAGCTTTGCGGAGCCGATATTTATTGTTTAGATTACAAAATTACTAAAAACTAACGTTAGTAAAGCGGGGCCGATTACTCGCGGCTATCTCGAGGTTAGGGGTAACAAATTGTAACAAATGGATGGCAGGGTAGGGATTGTGAACACAAGGTTTGGAGAGCAGTGTGCTCTTGATCTAGAACTAGGCGACACTCTGATGAAAAAGACAAACATGGGGGTACACCGATGGTCAGCTAACAACTTGGGAGAACACAAGATGACATTAACTAATAAATTCTCAGATCTATCCGTTTTAAAAACACATAAATTAAGGGCTGCTTTAATCAACTGGAAAATTGCTACAACTTTTGAAACTTTTTGGATATCTAGAAACTCTAGGAATTTTTAGGAATTCCACTTATTTTACCCAAGAATCCCTCTTGGGGATCAGCAGGGAATCACGGCATCGAAGATTTATTTTTTATTTTTTATTCATTAATTTATTTGTAAGGCTCAAACGCGTAAGCTTTACGGAGCCGATTCTTTCATTAATTTGAAATAAAAGAGTTTATAAAATTAGTTCATTTTTTCTTAGAAGCCGGTTGTTTGGTGTTAACTTTCTCTCGTGGCCGCAGTTTTCTTCTTTCTTCCGTTTTCTGTGTTCCAATAGCAGTTTTCAATTTCTTCGCGATCAAGAACAATGGATGGCTTTCGGTCTCGAGCTGACTTCCTCTTGCTGCTTCTTGTTCTTCTTCCATGTCCGGGGTCGTCTCATCGATTGCCATAACTTCTTCATCGAACACCTCAATAGCATCCGCTGAAGCATCGCCGGCTAAAACACTCGCATATGATGTACAGGTATCCACGCTGCTAACACTTTGGGCTTCGTCCGTATCCGTCGTTTGTTGTTTTTCGAGCTTCCTGCGAGGTTTCCGCTTTGGGCAAGAATTCATCTGGTGCCCCTCAATCTTGCAAACAAAGCACACATTCTTGTTCCCGGGATAGAACACGTTTCCTTTACGGTTGAGGAAATGCAGTGATGTAGGAATTTCCTTCATCCATATATACACCGCGGATGCCAGTGTATATATCAAAACCTAGCTTGGGAGGAAATTTCTCCCTAGCCACACGTTTTACCTTGCCGTATTTCCCCAGCACCAATGCTAGGTTTTTGTCAGGCACTTCAGGAAGCAGATCGTACACGTATTCATCCGCATTCAACATGTGTACCTCTACTGTCTTTCCATCGTCATAACGGAAAGTTAATTGTTCACTGTTATTCATCAATGTGTGACACATTGCCTCTTCGACCTTGAATTTAATAAACAAGGATTTCTCCTCTGCTACCCTGTATATAGCTTCCATCTGCATAGGATCCGCATCCACAGTCTTCGCGAAATTAATAATTTCGCCCATCGACGGTTTTCTAGCTCCATCGCCAAAGCTAAATTTGACGGTGTTTTTAACTTCAACTCCATTCATTGTTGATTCTATCCACAGGATTCCACACACGGCTAGCTAGCTGCGGATAAACAATGTGCGCAACACACAATAGCTTGGTCGAAAAACAGACTGCCGATAGCACTATCGACACCGAGAACAAATGCTGCTGTCTCCGTCCACAGCTGAAAGCGAACTGGCATCGAAGATGTTCTAATAATGTCAGAAAAAAAGTGAATTTCTTTGCAGGAAGACTTCAGTAAAAAAAATCTTCGGAGAAAGGTCTTAGACCCTAACAAACAGTTTAACTACAGATCAGCCTTATGCATAAGTCTTATTCAGCATTTAGCCTGCTCAATTTTTTGCAATGATGTTTAGTCATCAGATTTTGAGAGATGTTCCGTGAGCTTCAAGAAATTTTCGGAAACATCAGAAAAAAAATTGGGAGGTCAAAAGGAGAGCA